AATATGCATAAAAAAGAAAGCAAAGACAAAACTCCTTTGACAAATATAAATCCATTTAGCACAATGCATTAAACATTAGTATACCTTCAATCATGCAGCTACAGTTAGTTTCATACCCTGCAAGGAAATAACCTCATCATTTGACAAACACCGTTAAAACATTCAGCTTTTGGGGTTAAGAAACTGTGCCATACACTTTATATGTTACACTGATGTCAGGGGATATAAATTATAATTACAGGCATTATTATTCAGAGATGCCGCAGCTCCTGACTCCTGCATCCAAGCCTCACTCCTTGCCTGTGTACCTCATAGAGTTACTGGGATGTGACAAAGGAAGTCTCCTATCAGCCCTGTCTGGATAGCTAAGAACTGTTTTCAGTAATAAGAAAACTGTCTTGATAAATCAGATACTTGCATGTCTTTAAAACGTCTGTTTTACTGTTTCTTCTAAGATTTTGTTCTCCATCTGCTTTGAGGGAAGCAGATAGATTTCAGCATGGCTTTATAATAAATCTTCTTGAGGAGGGACTAGCATTAACATTTGTGTAGGTTCTTTTTCATCTTAATCCAACCTTAGTTAATAATCAGAAAACTCTACATAGTGGGTAAGAAGATGTAATTAACCCTTTGACCCCAGAATCTTAATTGGCGCCTGTTGAAAACAGTGGGCAGTTAAAAAAAAATTAAAAAGTAGCCTGCAGTGATTGAACCGCATAGTATATAATAGCTTTCTCATTCAAAATTTTAAAAAATTCCACAGAACTTTCAGATTAATCACATTTGGTTTCTGAGACTTCCGATTGAACGTTTCCTTCTTCCTCCCACCTTTTTAAGTTGAGACACCCAAATTAAATCAATATTGATGCTTTTCTTCAGACTTTTCTAAGCAGCAGAATACAGCTAACTATAGACAGGAACGCCCTTGAATGGAAAGGTAATGGCTGTGTGAAGAGTAACTTGCCAATCTACTTTAGACCCAACTTCACATCCTATTCCTTATTTGAAAGGTAATCAAACCTGAATTGTGGGTATTTGTCTCAGACTATAGTTATAATTGACCAAAATGATACGTATAAAAGTAAAAAAAAACAAAACAAAACAAAACAAAAGCTAATTAACCAAGGTGTTTTTTTTTTTCTCTTTAACCTCTACAATGACTAACAACTAATCTGACTTGTTTTCTCTACCAAACTGGCTGTTATTTTTAATTGAATTGACTGGATGTCTTTGTGTCATGTAGACATAGACTCATTTTAATCTCACCGGGAAATTGGAACATGTGTCAAAGCCTCTATTTTTGCCAAACAAAACTGGCCAGGTCTTAGGTGGCTGCTGCTTAATAGCATCAGATGTTTAGCCTCCAGATATTCCTTCTCCCTGCCATGGTGCCCAAACCTCCTGAGTATTTTAGGAAGTACACGGGATCTGAACCTAATGTTAAAAGTTACAATCTCCTTAGATGAGAAAGTAAAGTATATGTGTAAATGAAAATGATATATCTATTCAGGAACAGCCCTGAATACTTAGTAAGGCCATAAAAGGTCTACTCTAACCTTGATATTCCAAATATCCAGATCATCTGAGAAATCCGTGGCATCTAAATCTGCAAATAATCTAATAAATCCTAAATAACACTTTTGGGCAAAACAGTTTCCATCCCTCTTTGTCATTATAGCATGTGTGCTATAAAACAAAAAGCATTGAGCTCAGAAGTATAACTAGATTTAAAAAGTCTTGACTGTGCTATTGTTTAGGTGCTTGTTTGACAAAGATAATCAAGACACTGTTCCACTGTTGAGAAATTTGTCATGTCTTGTTGAATAAGCCAACAAGGATCATACAATGTTGTAATATTATGGAAGTACAGAAGATTCAATCCTGGTTCTGCCACAAGCTGGCTGTCCCATCTTGTCCAGCCATTTAGCCTCTCTGTGCCTCAGTTTCCTCACCTGAAAAAATGAGGGTTTAGACTACAGGAGATTATTTCCATGCCAACTTCATCCATGCCAACTTTCTTCTGCTCCCAACAAGCCTTCTGATTGTCTCCACAGAAGTTCTCCTGTGATATCTCTCTGTGTCATCACTCTCATTTGACAGTAGCATATGAGAGATGTGATTTGAGAAGATGGCTTACTGAGTTCTCTAATCATATAGAGCCCAAGGCTATTAGGTTGAATGAAAAACCAAACCAGGACCTGTTCTCCAAGGGGAAGGTCAAAGGGGGAGGGTTCTAATCCTCATGAGTCAGTTATACCTATAGTCTGAGACAAATACCCATAATTCAGGTTTGATTACCTTTCAAATAGGAATGGGATGTGAAGTTGGGTCTAAAGCAGATTGGCAAGTTACTCTTCACACAGCCATTACCTTTCCATTCAAGGGTGTTCCTGTTTACAGTTAGCTATACTCTTCTGCTTAGAAAAGTCTGAAGAAAAGCATCAATATTGATTTAATTTGGGTGTCTCAACTTAAAAAGGTGAAAGGAAATGTTCAATCAGTAGTCTCTGAGAAATCTTGTTTCAGATAAAGATGTGTTGAAGTGAGATCCTTCTCGGATTTGTAGGAAGGAATCTTCTCTCCATTTGCACTGGTTTCAGGTGCAGTGAGATCAGCACACTTGTCTCCATAGATTCAAAACCAATGCAAAGGAAGAATGAGGGCATAAAACATTCTACAGTGGAAAGGTTAGACCTGACGAGGCCCTAGAGAGTTTGGCAGTTTGTCAAAGATAAGGACCCCATATCTCTTAGACAGTATTTTTCCCCCACAGTTGGTTCCAGGGGAAATACCATAGAGCAAAGGTGACCATGTGTCCTCTTGTGCAAATGATTTATAAACTCTTTTGTCATCCCACTTCTGTTTTTTTTTCCCCTAACGATCTATCATTTGAACCAAGTGATGCTGTTCAAGAAGTCATAGGATGCCTTTTAGTCTAAATATTTTAACTTAAGAAATGCTGTGAATATTTGTCTTTTCATAAATCACCCATATCAATTAGACAATATTTATTTTTAGTAGAAAACAGAATAATTATTGAGTCTATTAGGAATCAAAGTCAAACTCAACTAAGGATGGGCTGTTGCCTAACTTCACTAAACCTCAATTTCATTGTATATTAAATGTAGATGATATTTGTGAAAATTTAAAAATACATGCATACTGCTTAGTACATACTGCTTAATAAATAAAAGCTGTTATTATTTTACTATCTCACCTAAAAAATTTTTCTATTGGGTAATTCACTCTTTTGTGAAGCAATATAATGTAACTTGAATTGTCTTCACAACTCACTAAATCAGAGGATAGGGTTGGTTGCCAGCTACAGTGTCTATCCATTGTGGGGCAGTGAAAAGAAGTCAGAAAACATGAAAATCCACATTTTATGTATGCATATAAATAAATATATATATATATATATATATACACATGTATGCCCAAATACATATATCTAAACATATATGCAAAAATACATGTATTTCATTGCCTTAGTCTGTTCTGTGCTGATATAGCAGAATATCTGAGATGGAGTAATTTACAAAGAAGAGAGATTTATTTCTTATAGTTCTAGCATCTGGGAAGTCCAAAGTCAAGTGCCTCATATCTAGCCAGGGCCTTCTTACTGCATCATCCTACAGCAGAAGACAGAGGACAAGAGAGCAATTGAGAGAAGGAGGGTAAGGGAGCCTCACTCATTCTTTTATCAGGAACCCACTCTTGAGATAACTAACCTGCTCTAGCAAAAACAGCATTAATCCATTCATGAGCACAGAGTCCTCTTGACCTAATCACCTCTTAAAGGTCTCATATCTCAACACTATATTGCACTGAGGTTTTTCGACTTATGAACTTTGGGAGACACATTCAATCCATAGCATTTGTATGCATACACATCCTTTTAAATTCAGTATTGTTTCTGGGGTTTGAAGGAATAGATATTTTACCTGAATTTTATGTACTTTTTCTACCTTTCTGTATTTAGAAACTTATGTCATTAATTTAGTGCTTCCCCATATCTTGCTCCCAACATTGATTACATGTATTTTGCAAATTCACAACCTTTGCCAATGCCACTAATCCTTAGTGTGGCAAGTAACACTTGTGCAATCCACCTTTTTAAAAAATAAATAAATGAAGCAAAACAAAAGACTTGAGGATGATGGAAACTGCAAAATGTGCTTGTGCCACAAGAAATTCAAACAAATGTATTTCCATCTGGGGTGGTGGCTTGTAGTTGGAGACCTGATGATTTACGTCATTTGTCGAACTCCCAATGCAACTCTCCAATTAAAAAGTTGGTCTGAGGTTTCAGCAGTTACAGATGATGTGCAGATACTTTCATTCTTTTGTTCTTTCTTCTTCTGTGTTCAGGAGTTGTAATGGAAACTAGATCTATCACAATAAAACTTTAATACTGAGTTCTGCAAAACAGGATAGCAGTTTGCAAGGTTTCAGCCTGTAAACATTCACCCATAATGTATTGACTTTTCTTATTTGTTCTAACACAATAAGCACTGAGAATAAGGAGGGCATAATCCTCTATTAATTACTAAATTATTGATGTCCATAGTAGTTCAAGTAGTGATCCTACTTGCTCTTCCTATAGAAACTCTTTTTTTTTCCTTCCATTTCAATTTCCATTCCTCTTCAGCTATTTAAGAGAATATCTTGCTGATTTACTTTAAGTAACCACTGAATCCCCCCAAAATAAGGGCAAAAGCTTATGAAATCATCACAACCTTATTTTATATGTGAATGTAATGCATCTCGATCAAAACAATGCAGGCAAAAGGAAGTTCCTGAAATAAAGAAAAGTTTATAGTTGTGATTCAGGTGTCTGAATTCGTTTACATATAATGCAGTCCTGAAAGATCTTAGAACTTGGTTGCACTTGAAGAAGAAATGGGCTTAAATTCCTGTATTGTTTTATATCAGTGGCCTTGTTAATTAAATATCAGATTATTTATTAACCTATTTATCTGTTTGTTTTTTTCCTGCAGTCCCTGGATGGCTTTGTATTTGCACTAAATCAAGAAGGAAAATTTTTGTATATTTCCGAAACAGTCTCCATCTACCTAGGCCTCTCACAAGTAAGTGAAAACATTTAGATTCTTGGTGGCAAATTGTGAAGGCTCTCTCTGCCTCATGTTTTTCCTTCTTCAACCGATATTCTATTTAGCATGAATTATCAAATTTATTATTTAATGGGCTCTACCTGACTCACTAAGCCAGTGAGAAACCTGTCAGAATAAACTTGTGCTCAAAAAACTTTAGTTCCCCTCCCTGCCCCCCAAGGATCATTATTAATTTATTGAGAACAAATGAAGTTTCTTCCCTCGGTTGTTTTGAACTTTGAAACCTCTGTGCCCAGTAGGAGAGGGACACACTAATAGTGCTTCCCTTGTGTCCTATTACTGGATGTTTATGGAGTACCCTGCATTATCCTGGGAGCTGACACAATGGCAGGAGTCATTTGGAGTCAAGAAATTCTGAAAGAGACCATTAAAATGTGTGGCAGGGAAGGTTCCAGCAAGGATATATTTTGCTGCCTTTGCAAATGCTTCCTAATGCTGAAAGACAATTTCATAAAATAAGGCAGTCTTTCCTTGTTTGTTATTTAATTGCTCATATGTGTTTATCAGAGGGTAAAAGAAAAGAAGATGGATTCTGATGGGGCAAGTGACAACATCCTGGTTTTCAGTTCTTGATATTCCCCTGGAACACAAAAATTTTAGTTCCATTGGATTCCAAGACCCAGGCTGCATCTACAGAATGCCAAAATATCCTGAAGTAAAGTTTAACTATCCAGATGTTTCTCTCCATAAAAGTGCTAAGCATCTGGGTATTTGTGCCTGTACAGGTAATTGGCTAAGTTTGACCCTTTTCATCTGGTGGTTTGGAAGGAGGAAAACAGCCTAGCCTCAGAGGGAGGGATTTTGTATGTGTGTGACAATCTGCCAAGTTGGATAATCTACCTCTCATCAGCCTCTTGCAGCTGAAGCTAGAGATAAGATTCGCCTCTCTCCTCTTAAGTGGGGCCCACCCAGACCCACTGCTTCTCAAAGTTGGCACAGCTCTAAGGGAGCATCTAGCATGGCTGGCTCTTAGTGAGTTTGTTGGGTAATAGCTAAATCAAGAAAGACGTTGGAAAATAATAGAGAGAGAAGAGATTTGGCATTTCACGAGGGTTGGGGGTGGAGGAGAAACACTGCCAAATTTGACTATTTACTGTTGAGAATCCAAACATGGGGTACCATCATTAATGCTTCCTTTAAGAACATACAAACTATCAGATGTAATGTGCAGAGAATTCTATTTTTTGTGGACTTTAGCAAACCAAGCGATAAAAACTGAGCTATTGTTAACTCAGTATTAGTATTCTTGTATCTTGTTAAAATCTCTGGTTTTGTAATAGCCTTTAATAGAACTTAAGCCTTGTCTTAATCTGCTTGGGACCTAGTAGTGAGAATCTTCAATTTTGAAATTGGTGCGCCACCATGTTGCAAATACTGTATAGAACTGGAAACGCCACTATTTGTTGTTCTGCAGTGCCCATATTCATCTGTTTTATGTGGAGTATCCAACGAAGTTTAATAAGCCAGTAAAGAAGAAGGATGAATAATTAGTTTAAGCAGGTAAATGCTAATTAGGGAACTCCTGAAAAGCATCCATTATATACTAGCTCCAAACACATTTTACAGCCCTGGTTAGTGGTGTAATCCAAATTCTGTCAAGGCAACTGCATTTTCTGTAATTGAGATGTGTATGTTTGCTTTGCATAACAGATGGCTCTGTATGCTTAGACTGATAGCTAGGAAAATAATAATTGCATTATTCTGGCCAAAAGAATATTAGCTCTTGGGTTTTGGCCATTTCAGTCAGTCCTCCTGCCAGCACAGCATATGCACATATATGGATTGGATTTTCAAGGAAATTGATGCATCTGGAATAGTGTGGCCATCTGAAATATCATCTGTTCAAGAAAAATTTGGCTTTAACCCTGTGCTGGTTTCTCCTTAAATGCAGTTTATTTCTGTGCTTCTCTACTGTAGCATTAAGTCAATCTTTTCCTAAATCTGAAATAAATAATCGAGGTTTCTGCAAAAGAAAGTAGCCATGTAGAAATGGTACAGGATCTGGCAACTTCTGTGCACTCAGCTCCTGCTTTTGCATGTGGTCTCTTTAAAAGTGTGCACCAATAGTCAACATCTTGACTTACCCAAGGCAGACCCTGGCTCCATGCGCTGCTACCTTCTCCTTCTCATGGACATTTGCAGTGTTGAGGCTGGGATATAGGACAAAAGTCTTCATTTGGCAATATTACACAACTGAAATGATGAGGGGTCAGAAAAAAGTGATTTTTTTTTTCACATACCAATCTATGCAGAGTTCAAAACTGAAATTTAAGAGGAGTTCTAGATTAACATGAAAATGGACTATTATGATATAGCTTTAAATGCTGAAACTTAGGAAAAGAGTTTTCAAACCAGTTAAGGTACCAAGTCATACTAGGAAACTGGAGATACCTGAGACATACAGTTCCCAAGCCATGTGGGAGGTTGCAGGGAGCCCCAGGGAAATTTGCAAACATATTCTAAGTCATTCAGTTAAGCATCTGGTCTTCTACCAATACAAACACATGCACGGGAGCACAACCATTACTAAAATTTGGACTGAATGCTCTGCTGTGTTCTACAACTTTTGCTAAGTGGTTATTCCACCATATTCTAGATAGCGATAAGGAGTTTTTAAAGTTATGCTCCCTCCTTTCCTTTTAAAATGGTTTTGTTAAATAAAAAACATGTGCCTCTATCAGCAAAGACTTACCCAGAGAAATTGCTGAGTATTGTGAGTATCTCTGTTTGTTAGGGTGGAGCCATGTCTGCATTTCTAACTCTCAAGATATTCCATCCTCAGTTTTATTTTCTTTCAACATGTAAATAAATATGGTGGCTTTAAAATGGCTTATGCCAATTAGGATTTGTTTTTGGCTTATGAGAAAAACCGTGAAGTAGGGAAACTTCTGCTGAGCTCCGTGGTGTAGCCTGGGTACAGAGCCAGGCAGAATGAATTTGTTTCTGCACGTCACTGAGTATGAGAGTTCCTGGTGTCCAGGACACTGTGTGCTGGTCACTGTCATGTGCTTGTGGTGAAGGAATGAAGTAAGCAATGGTAAGATTCGAGTCTCCTTAGCAGCCCTTTTGTCTTTTCCAGACAGTCAGATAGATATGTAACTTCACATCCAAGAAGTGGTTTTAGGTGGTAGAAGTATGCATTGTCGACTTGCTTTCCTAGGTAAAAATGATTCCCACTTACTCACCATGAGGCCTTCTCCTAAAGGAAGAGCCCCATATATTAAGGATGATTTTGGTTTATATAGAGATTAAAAGACTTCTTATACCTAGCAATGGCATTCAGAGCTACGCCAGACAACTCTGCTCCCTAGCTATGATGGAATTGGTCAAATGAAAATAAAGAAAGAAAATAGAATAGATTCCCTAATGCTGAAAATATAACAATGATAATGTACCCAGCTTTTATGAAATCTCTTCCAAAACATAAGGGCTTAATCACTAAAGAATCCAACAAAGACATTTCATGATAAATAAAAAGAAGTTCTAGTTGATATAGAATTTAAAGTTTGGAGAAATATTTATATGTTAGCTTATATTCTTCTCTTTCCACAAAGGATTTGAAATAAACATTTGCAATAAAAAATGATGTCCACGTAGAACAAGGGAATAAAAAATAAGCAAAAATGGGTAATATGTTTCCACAGAATAGGAGAACACAAATAGATGCATTTATAAAATGGGATATAAATGGCCTAATAAAGCTTCAGATTTAGCTGTGAGCTTCCTGGCAACCAAAGCAAAAAAAAGAAAATAGAGTCAAATACCAAAAATAAGGAATCATTGCTTTTCAAGGAGAGCAGTTTTTCTGGACCTGAAATCTGAAAATAGATTTCACATAGGATACCTATAGAGGCTAACATATAGATTATAGACCTATCAATTTGCTTCCACTGGGGTCCACATTCACAGCAAGACTTAAATAACACATATGGCAAACACAAACATTTTAGAAATCTCATAAGCTGACAGCATCACTGCAGTGAGTCATGGCTAGGCTAAAGATCATTTTGAGAGTTCTGGAATCTAGGCCTTACAATAGCATTGGCTAATTTGATGTTTACATGGTTTCAAAATCAGCTTTCCTTTTATCCACCCTCAAACACTGCATTTTCTTCTAAATCCTCATGAGAACCATAACAGTATAGGTGTCAGAGGCAGAAGACATGGGTCTCAGTTAGCAGAGGATAAAAATGGACTCATGCCTTCTGAAAACCTTTTTCCTTGTGAGGTTGAGAGATGATTGTGATGCACAGCTATGCCAGCAGAATGTTTTCAACCTGGGAAATTAACCCCCTTTTTAAGGTTGTGACATCATTAAAAAAAATACCCTATACACCAGCTGAAGCCTCTCTTGAAATGTGTTCTAATCACCCCCCACCCTCCTCCACATAATGAGTGACTTCCCTTCTTCTCACATGTCCCCACCCTCATATCAGATATTTCCTGGAGATCTAAAGTCAGCCAGAAGGTGGCTGCAGACTGGGTTACAGATTGGTCTGTTTGAAGGCAGCTTGCTGAAAGGGACAGGGTGACTGCCGATATAATAAGGGCTAAAAGAGGTGAAGGTGAAAAAGGGTAAATGGTTGTTTTAAATTTGGTCTTTTATTTTTTTAATCATGCAGATATTTATCATAAACTCCTTTCCTCATCCTGTTGTTCATCTCCGTATTTTAGATTTCTCTGCATTTGTTATATAGAATGGCAAATAAAATTACAGCCACAGCGCACAAGTACAAGGTCAAATAAATGACAGAGCTCAGTCTATTTGTGAAGCTATTCTGAAAGGGAACCATGGTGCCAAATGTGGTTTATTTGAATAATAAAGAAGAATTAGATTCCCCTGATAACTTGGCCGAGGGCCAATAAATCACTGGAGGTTAAAGATGCTTTGCAACTGCCATGTCTTTCTTTTGCTTTTCCAAAGTGCAAGCCTCAACTCTTCCATTCTCTGTTTT